ACTCAAGACGTGGGATAATGCTACCTGCCTTTCTTTCGAGGATTCTATCAGCGTTAGCGGCCAAGTCAAATTCACCACGCCGCTTCTGCCCTCAAACGGCACGATTCCCACAAACGGCACGACCAACTCGACAATAGCCAAGCGTGTTCACGGCACTACCCACAGCCGACTACATGCTCGCGCAGAATGCAGAACCGTGCAAGTCGAGTCCGGCGACAGCTGCGCGGCACTGGCCACAAAGTGCGGCATCACGGCCGCCGAGTTCACCAAGATCAACTCGGCATCAGATTTCTGTGCTACCCTGAGGCCGAAGCAGCATGTGTGCTGCTCCACAGGCGATATGCCCGACTTCAGCCCGGACAAGAACTCGGACGGCTCATGCTACTCGTACCAGGTGAAGGCGAACGATAATTGCGATGACCTCGCCGCCGAGTACAGTCTCACGAGACAAAAGCTCGAGGACTTTAACAAGAAGACGTGGGGCTGGAACGGCTGCCAGCTGCTCTTCACGGATACTATCATGTGTCTCAGTGATGGGACGCCGCCGTTTCCCGCCGAGATTGCCAACGCAAACTGCGGTCCTCAGAAACCCGGTACAACGCCGCCGACTGATGGTTCGGATATTGCTCAGCTCAACCCCTGCCCTTTGAACGCCTGCTGTAACATCTGGGGCCAGTGCGGTATCACCAAGGACTTCTGCATCGATACCAACACAGGAGCCCCTGGAACTGCCGAGCCGGGCACCTATGGCTGCATTTCCAACTGCGGTACCGACGTGGTCAAAGGCGATGGCACGGGCAGTATCAGGATCGGTTACTTCGAAGGATATGGCCTGGGACGTGAGTGCCTCTTCCAGGATGCTATGCAGATCGACTCGTCAGCGTACACGCACATCCACTTTGCCTTCGGCACCTTGACAGCCGACTTTGAGGTAGAGGTTGGCGACATACTGTCCGCGTACCAGTTCGCGCAGTTCAAGCGCATCAATGGACCCAAGAAGATCTTGTCCTTTGGCGGCTGGGACTTCTCGACCTTTCCTGACACCTACTGGATCTTCCGTGAGGCCGTAACGCCAGCGAACCGCCTCAAAGTTGCAACGAACATTGCCAACTACATCAAGAAACACAACCTTGACGGCGTCGACATCGACTGGGAGTACCCCGGTGCGCCGGATCTTCCCGGCATCCCGCCCGCCAGCGAAGACGATGGCCCCAATTATTTGGCCTTCCTCGTGTTGCTGAAGAACCTCTTGCCTGGCAAGACCGTCTCTATAGCTGCGCCCTCGTCGTACTGGTACCTGAAGCAGTACCCCATCAACGCCATCGGCAAGGTCATTGACTATATCGTCTACATGACGTATGATCTTCACGGTCAATGGGATGCCAACAACGCAAACTCGCAGGAAGGGTGCGATACGGGCAACTGCCTACGCAGCCAGGTGAACTTGACGGAGACCAAGCAGTCTCTAGCCATGATCACTAAAGCCGGCGTGCCGGGCAAGAAGGTCGTCGTCGGCGTTACCAGCTACGGACGATCCTTCAAAATGGCGGACCCGAGCTGTTGGGGCCCAGACTGCCTGTACACCGGCGACCGACTCAACTCGGAGGCGGCCAAGGGCGTCTGCACGGGAACGGCGGGCTACATCGCCGACGCCGAGATTGCCGAGATCATGAGCGACAGGCGCCGCGCCGGCCGTGTGGTGACGAGCTTCCTCGATGCCAGCAGTAACAGCGACGTGCTCGTCTACGATGACGGCGAGTACGTCGCCTACATGAGCGCCAGCACCAAGAAGACACGCGCGGCGCTCTACACTGCCTGGGGCATGGGCGGCACCACGGACTGGGCGACAGACTTGCAGAAATACCACGACGTGCCCGCACCCGCGAAGGACTGGGCGCAGTTCAAGCAGCTCGCCATCAGCGGGCAGGATCCCAAGTCGGATTACACCCGGAACGGCAACTGGACCGATTTCGATTGCACGAACATTTACGCAATGGACCAGCTTCACCGCGATGTCGAGGAGCTCTGGCAGGGTCTCAACGCGGACGCGGCATGGGAGGACGCTGTGAGGATCTGGAAAGAGACGGATCAACCCTATAATGACACCAGTTTCCTCGCTTCTGTGCACGCAACACTCATGATCGAGGCCGGTGCGGACGACTGCGGCGGCGTCCTGGGTAGTGACTGTAGTACCGACGGATGCTCGAAGAGCATGGATGGAGAGTACTCAGGGCCAGCGGCGCAGCTGATTTGGAACTCGATCATCACGATCCGGAAAATCCACGCCACATACTATGACGCTCTGTACAAGGCCTCTGTAGGCCTCGTTGCCGCGCTCAAGGACATGGAGAATACTTTTGCGCCGATTCCTCCCGAGGAGGACAATACCTGGCTCCTCCTTATCATCGATCTCGTCACTCTGGGAACACTCTCTGCCGCGGGGCCCTTCTTCAACACGTTTCTCAAGTCTCTGCCGAAGTTTGCCAAGTCCCTAGACAACCTCAAGGACACCAGCATGACCCTAATTGGCCAAAGCACAACCATTGCCAAAGACCTGCTGCCAGACGCGGACGGATCAGACTGGAAACCTGATGATCAGGACAAGTTCTCCAACTATATGGGCCAAGTCATTGACGGCTGGGCTACAGTTACGTCCCTCGCCCTCACCAAAATCTTTGACGGCTCTTCCGAGTCGGTCAGCCTCATTGGCAAGGCCATCGCCAATGGTAACCTGTATCCCAAATCCGTCAACGGGACTGTGGACGCCACTACGCTCTTGTCGAACATTCAAAAGTCCTATTTCGCCTATGCCATCCCCGCCCTCTGGCATGCCTCGAGCGCGTGGGCGTTCGTCATTGACTCGGGTTACGGCTGCGACGCGTCGAACCCGTTGGATGACTACCTCTCGGACGAGACCATGAAGGCTACGGGCGCGTGCTACAACGGGAAGCTATACTACCTCGCCAGCCCGGACGGCGACGCCTACGAATGCTCCGAGGGCGGGTGCGTAGACCAGAAGTTTTCGGCGCCCAAGGGTGTCGGCAAGCTGGGCGACAGCTTTGGCGACGTCACGAAGGAGGACCTGATCAAGGGCGCGGTGCGTACCTATCTGGCCAACGGCGGTAAAAACGGCGGCGGCTTCGCCAACGTAGATGACGAGGGCGTGCAGGACGACCTGCTGGACGTGGACGTCACGACGCCGGGCTTCATCCGCATCCCCGTCTGCAGCGCCGAGCGCGCGTTCCAGAGATGGGAGTCAGCGACGAGGGACGAGACAAAGGGCTCCACGGAGAACTACCCGTGCGACGTGCCGCCGGGCAAAGACTACTGCGGCCTGTCGTCGTTTGAGGACCAGACGAGCGGTGCGTCGCCGAGCGCGAGCGATTGTCTGCAGATTATCAAGAACATTGAGGGCGACGGTGGCACCGACTGGACGACTCAGGTCGTGGGGAAGAACCAGCGCGAGATTGCCAAGTTTGGCGGGTGTTCTTTTGGTGTTGAGGCGACCAAGGTTGATGGCAACGTCGAGTTCTACGTCGGCGGTCAGGATGTGATCGATATCATAAACACTGCTATTGAGAAGTTTGAGAATAGTGACGGAAAGGTGGGAGCCAAGGGAGACATGGACTGTAACGGGAACAGTCACCAACAGGCGGTGAAATGGGGCATTTACTAAGCTTACTAGGACTTGGATGTAGGGGTTGAACTGGTGCCATACCTTGGCAACTGTTTTCTTTGTAATTCACATTCTTCTGTACGTATTTAGCATTACCTTGGGTCTTTGACTATCGAGTCATATGTATTCTATCTTCGTTCCTGCGTTGAAATCCCTCAATCAGCTTGACCGCGTCTTGAACTCTCGGTGAGTGATCCTCGATGGGGGTTTCTCTCTTAGGCGGAGAACGGCTTGGCTGAAAAGTTACCCAGTTGTGCCAGCACGAACACCTTGAACAACGCTACAGACAAGCGAGACATGGTGCGTGCGTATGGACTCGCTACGGAGTACTAGATAGGTGGCCATTGTGTGTCTAGTAAGAAGCACCATATGTCATGATTCTACGCTCTTCCATCTTTGTGTATGCGTAATCGAGAGTTGTCGCGACTGAGTGAATAATGTCCAAAGTGTTGTTCCTGGTTGGGTGAGACACGGGCATCCTTGCTGCTGCTGCAGAGCGTTGTGCCACGCCGTTGGGCCTTATGCTCAGGCACCGATACAGATCGATCGAGCGACTTTGATCAGATGCTCGAGGTGAGCCACCGGCGGCTACACTGTCTCGTGAGCTCTCGTGAGCTCTTGTGATGTGATCATCGAGTTATCGCTTCACTTCAGAGTCGTTCTGAAAGTCTGGCTGTCTTGTTTTCAAGACACACGTTGACGAACTTGTTCTGCTCCATCGGGAGATTCCTGTGCAGGGCCCCTAAACTATTCCTATTAATAGGCGCATTAACCCCTCATTCAGCTGATAGTAAGGCGGCTGCACCCGCACCCCCCAACGCTGTTAGCACAGCGCAACATGGACGCTCCTGGGCCGAGTTAGGCTTCATGACACCCTCCTTCTCAAGTAGCTGTTGCAGAAGACGACGAGCTGAACTTGATTCTCATTCCAAGAATGATGTTGTGCCATTGAGCAACGTCAGAGGGGAGAGAGAAAGAGAGATAACAAAAGAAGATGACTGATTGATCAGCAACCCCGGCACGCCGGTGAAATGATCCGTGCCGAAATGGCGGTGACAACGACGGGTCCTGTACATCATGTACTCCTAGGGAGGGGGGCACTCTGGGACAACTCACGTCTGGTTGGAATGGCGGCGGGGTGGAGACGAGAACCCTCACCGCGGCCATTAACATCGCGGCCGACGCATGGCGGTGGAGGTTGGGCATCATACACCGCGCATGATCCATAGTAGCGACGTGGCGGAAAAAGTAGAGAGAGGCAGCAGCCAGCCAGAATCTCTTCATTCTGTTTGGTCTGCTGCTCTCTCTGCTGCAAGCGTGGCCGCAGGTTTTCCACGAGACCGCTCTTCACGACCCTCGCCTCGCCTCTTCTCACTCACCTCTCACCTCTACTCAGACAAGTAGAGTCTGTTCTGTCCCTACCCGAGGTGATCCCTCCCCCTTGTTGCATTTCGCCCTGCCTCATCGCAATCGTTCCGAGATCCCAAGCCCAAAGGAGTCCAGTCAGCCCCGGGTTTCTTGCTGCTCGATTGTGGTTCTCGAGGTTGGGTTAAACCACTACCTAGGTACTGCATCCCACCGCTCATCCCACACCCCCAGTCTTCAGTCTCCGTCATGTTGCAATGATTTGACCCATTCTCCATACCCTTTCTCTTACCTACCTTACCTTGCCTCGACCTTTTTTTTCTCTTTGGTCTCCGCCAGAGCTATCCATACACCATACCGACAATTGAATCTTTAAACAACCCCCTTTAGAAACTCTCTTCCCTTCCTTTTCCTCTTCCCTCTTTTTCCTGTTCCTGGGATGTGTGGCAAGAGATGGTGATCGGGAACCGAGATTTTTCGACTTTCAGGAGTAAGAGTACCAAGAGCACTAAGAGTGACTCGGGGAACGGGGACGATGCGTCCATAGGCACGCACGAGAGCTCGTACGAGCACCCTCTGGGTGAGTACAAACCGATGATCAACGGTCCACGAGGTCACCAGGTTTGTTTGCTAACATTGAGACAATTTCTAGCTCGCAAAGGCTACGATATTGGCCCCGCGTCGAGATGCGAGGTGGGCGACGTCTTTGAGTTCCTTTGGGCAGACTCGCACGAGTTCGAGTGGGAGTGGAAGTGCCTTGGCTACACGCGCTTCATCGTCCTTCGACACAGCGACACTTTTCCGCATTACTGCCACTGTGTGTAAGTTTTGATCATCTCCAGTCTCCAACCGCCAGTGTCCCTCTGTTGATGTGGTTGAGCTTGTTGTTGCTTTTTACCCCTCCTCATCAACGCCCCTCACTCATCCCACCAAAACCCCCCCGTCGGAAAACCGAATCAAGCCATGAATAAGCCCAAAACTTCATCTCGCTAACTTCTGATCGACGATACCACCAGTCCCATCTCCACCCCCACGAAAAATGACTTCCAGAAACCCGGAATCGATTCGAGCCAGCAGGGCTACGTCTTTGACGAAAACGACCGCACCCCGCCCTTCGATCGTCTCCCCTTCTCCCCCGTCGGCATGCAACTGCGTCCGGGCAAGTTCCGCGTGAAAGAAAATTCACGCGCAAACTACGCCGACGTGCTCGAGATCGACCACGATGCACAAGTCATGGTCGTCGGCGACGTCACGCGCTACTTTGACCGGGTGCGGAGGAACGTCAACAAGGCCGTCATGCGCAACGTGTTGAAAAAGGCGTTGGAGCAGTACCGCCAGGGCAAGCTCGTCGGCAAAAAGGGCGCCAAGCTCGAGGCGAGCGTCGTCAACGGCGGTGGGAGTCAGGACGACGAGGAGGAGTTCAACTTTGACGAGGAGCCCGAGGACGGAAGCGATCCGGACCATCCCGATGTGTTCCTGCGACCGGATGAGACCTCGTCCGTCATCGAGAAGCGGAAACCCGATCGAGGAGACCGTAGCGACCGCAGCGACCGGGAACGCGACCGAGACCGGGACCGGGAACCCCTCGTCAGCGCAGAAATGCCGCCCCCTCCGCCCCCGGCCCCGCCGCTGCCGCCGATGGACCTCCCGTCCCCGATGCCGATGCAGCAGCCGTCGCCCCCGCGAGAGCGAGAGCGCGACGACGCGTCCTCGATCCGGTCCCACGCGTCTCGAGAGAGAAGGCATTCCCGGAAAGAAGCGCCCCCGCCGAGAGGTGAAGACCTCCCGCGGAAAATGTCGGATCACCACGTTGACGGCGCCGCTCGGCCGTACAGACAGCGCATCGACCTTCCGCGATCCCGGAGTCATCGGGCCTCTGAACACGAGGTCTCTGCTTCAATGTACGACGTCGCTACGGCCAGGGCGGACTGAGAAAAAAAAAAACATGAGTTGTGACATTGGGATCTGATGGGTGATGAGATGACGCGCATTTCTAGGATGATGATGATATGGTTACCATCGATCGATCGGCTCTTGAAACGGGTGCTATGAGTGGCACGACGGCGGCTCTGAATGTCTTTTTTTTCCTTCTCTTTTTTTTATGACACCTATCATGATTGCATGCATCAAATGCCTCTTTTGCTTTTTCCCTGCTGCGACTACAACATCAACATACAACAAATAACGAGAATCCGCCAGCATTCACGGAGTACAATTAGACTTGTTTGGTATTTCCTTTCTGCTTTTATTTTCTTCACAATCATCATGATCTTCAGAAGATACATTACCAAAAAAACTGTACAAACGATAATCAGACTGCGAGTTTTGTCTCCTCTCCTCCGCACTCAAGATCTCATGATACATCCAGGCAGCTTACCGATTTCACTGTGACTGTTGAACTATTACTTCTAGAATGCATCTAGAAGAAGATGGAAGGATGCAAGATCCGCTTGGGTAGCAATTTGGGCAGCAATTCAATGCTAATTTCCTATCTGGGGGCCCCGCGGGCGCTAACTGCGGCTGTCTGCATCGTCATGCAGGATGATTCACGATCCTCTCTCACCAACTGGTCGGACCAAAGGTCTCATTCTCCCCCACCGTCTTCAGAATGGCGCCATACGTGGAGTCCTATATGCAAGACACGATTAGTTGAAATGAGCTTCGACGTCAGATAGCGTTGCCAGCGAGCGCGTTCACTTGCGGGCATCCGCGTTTCGCGGGGAGAGTGAGGGAGGAGGGGCAGGGTCCCCATTCTCAATTTTAAGATGCATATGCAACTCACCAAGGTATTATATACGTCGACGTTTCCCCACCATTGCGGGATCGTGACGTTGGGCAACGTGATGGCGAAGAAGATGACAATGGTGCTGATGATGAGGCCAGCGTCCAGCGCAGCAGCGGTGATGTAGTTGTACGTCTTCCACCATCCGTGAAACCTCTTGCGCACGCCGTGGTTGAAGATGAGCCCGACAATCGCCCAGCTGGAGAAGCTGAGGGGCGTCGCTGGCGGAAGCCAGCCCATGGCGCCGAGCATGACGGGCGCGTGGAGGACCTTTGCGAACTTGAGGTTTAGAACTTTGGCCAACACGTAGAAGACGATGGGCAGGCAGGCGCCGATGAGCCAGAAGTAGTTGAAGTTGTGGTAGATGGAGCCGGCGCCGAACATGCGGCGGGGACCGATGACACCCCAGACGATGGAGGATGAGAAGAAGGCTCTGCCGTTGGGGCAGGTGAAGTGTGCGTGTTGGGTGCTAAGGTCAGTATGTCAGATATCAATCCTTCGTAGGGTAAGTAATCATGAGGCTCCCTTTGGATAGACTCACAGTGCACAACAGTTTTCAATGTTGCCGAGCGTCCAGTTCATCACGGCAATCTGTACAAAGACGGCCCAGATGGTAGCCACAACCTGACACCAAAACGTCACACGAGGCGGAATCTTCATGTAATGCGCCATCTTGAGGTCGCCAGAGTACGTCTGCGCCTGGCCGAGGGTGATCGTGCTGTACACCTTGAAGATCATGACACCAATCGGCTTCCCGGGGATCATGAAGCCCGCCAAGAACGGAGACAGCACGTTGAGCGCGAGTCCGAGGTTCGAAATGGCGAGGATCGTGCACGTGGGAATCACAAATATCATGGCCAGGAAGTTGGCGACGAAGAATGCCCACCACGGCAGCTGGGAGTCGTAGCCCTCGGCCGTCGCGAGTCCGAGGCCGATGGCGAAGAGCAGGAGGACGGCGTACCACCACTCGGGCGCGTCGACGTACTTCTTTGCGAGCTTGAGATGGATGTCGGCTTCCTGGTTCCGCGCGGCCTTGAGGCGGTACCAGATCTCTTTGCCATGGAAGAAGCCGCAGTGGACGATGGCGGCGGTGAGGGCGGCGAAGGAGAGACCGTAGTTGAGGGCAAAGGTGGGCGGGAGGAAGAGGGGCGAGTACTGCTTGTACTTCTCTTCTGAAAAGGTGTACCCGGGTCCGAGAATCTTGCTGACGTTGTAGGAGCTCTGAGTATTATCGTAGGTCTGCGAGGTGTTGATGGGGAGGTAGTCTGCGAAGAGGGCGCCCGAGTAGGCGATGCCGATGGTAGGGATGATGACGAACGTGAAGAGGCCGATCAAGACATTGACGTGGGTGTGCGTAGGTGAGAGAAGGGGATCGCCGAGGTAGGCGGATACATAGGTCCAGTCAAAGGTGATGGGAATCAGGGAGAGGCCGGTGAAGCCTCCAAAGAGCTGGTTGACGACGATATTGTTCGGCTTGATCCAGGTGACAAAGGCAAACACCGATAAGCCTTGCCAGAGAACACCCGGAATCCAGTAGTAGCAGAACATGGCCGCCAGGACGTAGAAGAAGTACCGGTATCGACTGATGATCCAGCCGTTGCTGTGCGTGCCGTCGCTCTTGCTCTTGTCGTGGAGGGCGTAGAAGAGGGACGTGTTGGCGAACTGGTTGGGCCAGATCATGGCGGCCGGCCAGACGAGGAAACGACGGCAGAGGCCCGCGAGGCCGATGCCGATGAGCTGGGAGCTCAGCGTGAAGAGCAACTGGAAGCCCCATCCGAGGTTGATGTCGTAAAAGGGCTTGCCCTGTAGCGCGAGGAGGGCGTCGGTGCTGTAGGCGTAGCCGATGGAGACGTTGGACATTAGGGTGATGACAACGTGCTCCTTGATCGTAAAGGGGCCGGTGTTGAACGTCCATTGAACGCCAAAGGTGTTGAAGACCTTCATTGGCATGACCCTAGCCCAGAGACATCCAATTGGGTAGACCAGCAATTGGACGATGATGGATGGGAAGTTGATAGCGGGACTCCTGTGAAGATGGATGAAGAGTGTCAACGATCAGTGTTCCTGACATCACAAAGCCTCGTGCATCTCGTTTCCACTTACCTCATACTTAGAAACATGTTGAGACCGCTTCCAATTGTCACGAAAATCATGCCCAGAATCCACGCTCGAACCGTGTTTGCGACTTCACCCCCATCTGTATTGCGTACAGCGGCACGTACTTCCTCGTAGGGCGAATCCTCCGTCAAGATGGCATCGGCGGCAATGATTTCCTCAGAATCGCCGTCTTGGAGCGCCTTCTTCACCATGTCGGCCTTGTCCTGGGGCAGATTGGGGTCCCAATGATGATCACGCTGGAAGTTTTCGAGGTCGGTCGCCGCCTGCGTGACGTCCACGCTATGGTTCTTTTCGTCCGCCATGGCGGCTACTGGGTGTGCCTATGTTATCGATCGTGATGTTGATGTTGGTGGCTACTGCAAGGATCTATGCAGCGAAGATTCACTAGCTAGATCGTCATAGCCCAATGGCTGATCGATTTCGGGTTTCACGAGTATTGGTGACAGCTTGGGACCGACCAACATTAAGGACAATGCTTCACGATGAGTGTTCGTACGCGTCTCTCATATAACACAACCAACCGGCGAATCAATTGAACTCAATCAAGGTCCCAAGAGGGAAGTTGCCTACGTTGCCCGAAGCCCGAACGACGTGATAACGGTCACCAGGACCATCCCACCGTAACGTACCACGAGGTATCGTTATCATGGATAAATGGTCTCCTTTCTCCACCTTCATAGTGCGAAATGGTGGTGTTCCCAGGCAGTTCGTGTTATCTCGCCCGAGGCCGGGGGCGGGGTGGCGCCGTTTATTTCCCCGGAAGGAGGGGGGAAACGACAAGGAACATGGAGGATTACGTGCGGTCACTGCGTCAGGATCCTTTTAGAGGAACTTATTTGAGTGAACCCCTGCCCGCTTATCGTCTTGACAAGTCTTGTCCCGACGCGGCAATGCTTGGTCCAATTGGCGTTAAACTCAAAACAAAAAGTTCCCAACCGTCGGGGGGATCCCCTTGACAGCATTGAACCGTCGGCACGTTGCAACCGCGTGACGGCCGAACGACTAATAACGAATCCTCGTTCTTACCCCGCCGGTAGATAAGGTAGCAATTCTTCCCCCAACACGAAGGAGTTAGATACGGATAACCTTTGCCCATGGAAGATACGGATATTGTGATAAGACGGAAAGGGTCCCGCGGGGGGTCTTCCGACGAACAAGGATCTCGGACTGAAAGCCCGGGTAACCCGGGTCTGGCCGGGAATGTCACTTCAAGCGTTTGCTTTTAGAATCCCAATTGATTGCAGCGAAGTCGTCCGAACCCAGCGCGACGGTGTCAATTGGCCTGGATCACGCGTTGGTTTTCCTTGAATCATTACCGCTATCCCGGGTGCTGGATCTACAACACCCCAGATGACCTCGAGTGTCCAGCTGTTCCGCCTGCTCGGTATTACCAGCGTGTAAACGGCTGATCATGGAGCCCTTGCCTCGAGGTAACCCTCAGTGACTTGCATGAGGTACCTTAGCTAGCGGTTCTGCTGCGTACAGCATGCCTGAAATCAATCCAACATCAGCAGTCTAGCACATCGCCCTCCAGGGATCATGATACAATGACGATGACAGCCCAGTGAGAAGGAAGCTGGTCCTTTGCTCCTCTTCCGACTTAAGGCTTGGAACACGATTTCAGGCTTTGAGTCTTCCCCTTGAAGCCCTTGACTCAAACATGGAAGCACTCTACTTCTTGGTATGGGTCTCTCGCTGTCGTTGAACATCCAAAACCTTCCTCAAAGCTGCATCTCGCTCCTGAAATAGCTCTGGAGTAGGCAAACCATAGGCATCCACAGTTTGCTGTACAACTTTCGCATCCCACGTCGGCCCGTCACTCTTCCCTATGCCCTCCGACTCATTCGTTGCCTTTTTCTGAAAATTCACGGGCTCCGAACTATCCCATACCTCTTGGACAGTCCCAGAAAGGTTATTCAAGAAGGCCTCGATCCCAGCTACCCCGCCACCCATATTGTACGACTTGAAGATGCCCTGCACCGCCCATCTGGGCCCAAGGCTCGCTTCCATGATGGTGTCAACGTCTTCCGTGCTGACGACGCCCTGGTCAACCAGTGAACAAGCTTCTCTGAGTAGCGAGAACGCCAACCGGTTCCCTACGAAACCAGGAACCTCTTTTTTGATAACCACAGGTCGGTGGCCGGAACCCAATTCCGTAAAGAACTTTTTGGCAAATTCAACTTCGTCCCGGTTTGTAATCGGTGACGGGACAATCTCAATCAAGGGCATAATGTGCGGCGGGTTGAAAGGGTGAACCACCAAAAGACGAGTCGCATCCACCATATCGCGGCTCTGAACCGACGCGGCGATGCCAGACGTCGAGCTCCAGAAGTGTGCGCCAGCAGGCGCAAAGCTTTCAATCTTTGGCCATACTGATCGCTTGAAATCTGGATTCTCCGGGCCTTGCTCCTGGACGATGGTGGCGCCGTCGCATGCCTCTTCGAGCGTGGTGCAGATCACGAGGCGGCCGGATTCGCGCAGACGGGAGATGCCCAGCGACGCATCATCCGAGTCGATGTAACCCGGCAGGACTGTGGAAAGGTGCTGTTCGAGGTCTGGCCTCGTATCAAAGACTCTGACGGCGCTCTTTGTATGTCTCAGGTGAAGGGCCGCGAAGGAGATGCCGATGGCCCCTAGTCCGATGAGGGCGACGCGCTCGTTCACATCAGATGGCATGGTGACGATGAATTAATATTAGGGAGTTCAACTGAGTGCCGCTTATGTAATGGACTGACTTGCTGATTGGAGAAGGTTAAGGATTGCCGTGAGGGAAAGCCGTCACAAGAGAGACTCGTCAAGTTGGGGAGACTTGCCCCGCATGACGAAAGTCTCACTCCCGGGCGTTTCGGAATTCCGAGTCTTTGTCCGTGAATATCCAAACGCGTTTCCCTAATGCATTAGATAGCGTGCAATGCAGCTACCGAGGTCTACTTTGCTTGGTATTGGGAGCACGATCAAATGCTCATAACTTGAAGCAGAGACTGCTTCTGAGAGCAATGTTAGACGTGGATGGCACTCTGGAAGAATTAATGATAGGCAGAAGTGTTTACTCTGCTCCAACGATGGCCATCTGCGAGAAAGTATGACAGGTTTATCGTTGAAAGAGTTGAACCACATATGACCGAAAAAGTATATTGTATAATCGCGGAATTCCGACAAACTCCGTCAGCTAATGACCCTGATGTCGATGTTGACGCTCTGTATATTAAGCATGAGCAAACTCTTTGAGGATGTAAACTTATCTTTGCCACCTTCACTCTATCTCCAGGTCGAAGCACGATAGTACTACAAGATCTCTTTACGTCAACAATCCAGACCATCCTATTGCTTGTATATCACCACCCTCCACAATGGTCCAATACCTCAAATCGAAAGCTGCTACAAAAGGCACCAACTCCACATCCCCGCTCGATGTCCCAGGAATTGTAAGGGGCGTGATTGACGACATTCGGGCAACTGGCGACAAAGCTGTTAGGACTTATTCAGAAAAGTTCGACAAGTGGTCACCAGCGTCCTTCAAGCTCTCTCAATCAGACATCGACTCGATTGTTGCCAAAGTTCCTACCCAAGTTATTGCCGACATCAAGACGGTGCAGAACAACGTTCGGACATTTGCTCTGGCTCAACGAGATTCTCTGAGGGAATTCGAGCTCGAGATTCGCCCAGGTGTTTTTCTTGGACAGAAGAATATCCCTATCGATCGTGTCGGCGCGTAGGTCTTTCGATATGGTGTGTAATAAACGGCTGAATGCTAAGAGTCAAATAGTTACATCCCTGGAGGACGGTATCCGTTGCTCGCGTCCGCGCATATGACGATTCTCACGGCTAAAGCAGCCGGGGTCCCCAAAGTCATTGCCTGCACGCCTCCAATCAACGGGCAGATACCCCCTTCCACCGTGGCGGCTGCATATCATGCGGGAGCTGACGAGATTTGGATCCTCGGCGGCGTCCAGGCCGTTGCGGCGATGGCGATTGGCACCGAAACCATGGACAAGGTCGACTTCATCGCGGGTCCCGGTAACCCCTTTGTAGCAGAAGCTAAAAGGCAGCTCTTTGGTGAGATTGGGATTGATCTTCCCGCCGGACCGACTGAGATCCTCATTGTCGCCGACGACAAGGCGGATCCGACGACCGTTGCGACTGACCTCCTATCCCAAGCGGAACATGGACCGGATACTCCCGCGGTTCTCATCACTAATTCGCGGACCGTAGCCCAAAAGTCCATGGAGGAGGTTAATCGCCTGCTAAAGATTCTACCGACTGCACCTCTGGCCTCTGTCTCTTGGAACACCTACGGCGAAGTGATTGTAGTCGATTCTCTGGACGAGGCCTATGCCTTGGCAGATGACTACGCAAGCGAACACGTTCAGATCCTGACCGAGAGACCGAGGGAGGCCCTGGAGAAGATGAGAAACTACGGCGCTCTGTTCCTCGGGGCCAAGACTTGCGTTTCCTATGGCGACAAGGTACGCGGTCATTCTGCCTTGCCCGGCGTCTCTGTTTTATGCTAACATCTGACCAGTGCATTGGCACAAACCATGTCCTGCCAACAAAGAAGGCAGGTAGATTTACCGGTGGGCTCTGGGTGGGAAAGTTCCTGAAGACTGTTACTTATCAGGAAGTTGTTTCTGAGTCAGAAAGCGGAGAGTTGGGTCGATTGTGTGGCCGTGCTGCACGTGCTGAGAGCTTTGAAGGTCATGCTCGGTCTGGGGACCTCAGAGCAAAGCAATTTTTGGGTGACGAGTTTGAATGGCTTAGCAAATAAGCATGGAGTCATTTATATTTAGTCTGGTGCAAATTCGGTCCAATATTTCAACCTGACTCCCTTTTTGACGGAAGAGATGGGTGATGGGTCGTGAGTTCATGTTCATCTGCCAGCTCAAATTTGCGGCATGTTTGTCAGCCAAAAATGGTGTACTTGATAATACCAATCGAATTCACTTTAGCTAGGTACTAGTAGCATGAAGCATCAAGGTAATTTTTGTCTTCACAAGCTTACTCTGTCCACCTTAGGCAATTTAGCTGGGGTTTTCAGATATCTCACATAGGCCTTCTGGGCGAATAGAGGGCTATTGTTCAGAGTAAACTGAACCCCATATGCTCAAAGTTGAACGACGGTAAGAATGAATCCCATGCTAGGTCAGATCCCTCCAAGATATCTAAACCCAACGTCTCCATGCTGTCCATGTCGACAGCATCCTGTGGAAAGTTGTAGTTACCATCCATGAATCCTTGCAAACTTGTTGGAAATGCTTCAGCAACTCGTCTTGCCGAATCCCATGCATCATTTGATGGCATAGCTCTACTCAAAGCCTTAGCTTTCCGAGTAGAGAAAGTTGGGCTGACAGTCGTTTCGCGCTCGCGTCCGTCCGTAAAGGTCTCCGATTGCCTCTCAGCAAGCTTTCGACAGTTTTCGACAAACTTAGCCAATCCAGCCCCCATCCAACTGACGAGGTGGTACCGCGTGCATTGTATGGACTGGCAGGTCTCTGCAGCTTTCGACACATGGTCAAAGGCTTCATCCTGGTCCATATCCAGATGGCGATGATACTTTGTTGCGACTTTGAGAAGGAAAGTGCACGCATATGCTATCATCGTGTGATTGTAGTGCGGTAATCCCACTAACCCTGCTTTGAGATCTGGATCGGTGCTGATAAGCTCGATCGTTGATCTAGCGGACTCAACCGTTCCGTGAGCTAAGTCGAGAAACTCTATCGGAATCGGATCATCGACAGGGTTGGACGAAAGCCCCCGAAATACAAGGGACCCAATGAACAATTTGGCGAAGTGGTAGTGCAGACGAAGATTCTTCCGAGGGAAGGCTCCTATCTGCCTCTCGATATCGCGTTGGGCTATTAAGCACATGACACAGTCAATAAATGCCGCTCACAACATTTTCCCAAGCCTCCCTAAACTTACTTCTGTATCGAGCAGCCCACAGATTGTGCCATCGGTCCACCTCTAAATCGAATTCCTCAAGCTCCTTTTTGAATATTCCCGATATGCGACTGTCATCATTCGAGCCGAACATATAGGTGACTTTCTCCAATATCAAAAGCAGTTCCAGCTGACTGGAAAGACGAGTGTCGGTGCTTGAGCTGGGAATGACACGAAGATACTTTCTCCATCCTGCCACAGACGACGGATTTCCAAAACTGGAAGGCCTGCCATATAGGATTGAGAGATGATGGTCGCAAATGTAGAAGAGATACCACACCCTCAAGCAACTGAGGACATCTTCTCGGTCCTTGAGCCCGAGACTGTTGGAAAACCTGTCGTCGAGTTGGCTGGTCCCGATGACAATTTCATATGACTTTTCGAGCTGGAACTCGATAGCTCGACGAATGGCGAGACCAGACACTGACCATGAAAGATCACTGAGCCAGAACGAAGCTATGCACAGTCCCTGAAAATCGTAGAGATTTACATGCTTCTTGAACATGAAGTCAGACACGAGCTTGCGGAGCCGAGCACTGCAGACGCGGTAAAGTTGCTCGCCCCCGTGTTCGTGCAAAGCCGAGACTGTGCAGATTGCCACGAATAAGAGGGGAGATGCGCGGCGCACGCTGTCTAGATCTTCAAAACGGCTTGTGATCCCATAGAGGTAGTAGTCAGTTCGCTCCAGAAACCTCTTCACCAGACGGTCTGCATCATTCCGCTGAAGGGTTCCTTCTGTGATGAGGTCTTGAGGCTCTTGTGCGCCTGGTTGAGCTGTCATAGGCGCTGAAGAAACAGCTCCATTCGCATTGGCAGACCTCAATCTCGTGATTTCATGCAAGGAGCTGATGGGCGCTTGACTCAATGGCTCGACTAGGTCTTCACTCTGTGCACATAACGAATCGGTTTGCTCTTCCATGTCTTGATCCTCATCTTCGATGAAAGTGCCAGTCTCATCCGGATGCAAGCCCTCAACATTCAGCCTTCCTGCAAGTGAACTTTTCAGAGGCCCGAGCAGCGGCAGAGATCCTTGTCGCAGAAGGCCATTAATAGCTGTGTGCAGCATGCGCATATCATCCACCATATCCGACCTATACAATGCATCATGTATCAGCGGTGCAACTCATCAGACATGAGGCGGGCAGTCAAACCGATTGGGGCTTGCATCATTGGACCTCGCCTCGATCTCTCGAGCTGGCCGTTTGAAAACGCACTCAATATTCTTCTTCCTACAATGCTGGCATGGCCCATCTCGGCCGCTCGGTAAGCATCGCACCTTCAAAGGGAGGTTAGCGACGCGCTAGTTGAAACGTCACGCATGCCAAATGGTCGGGGAGCCTGCACGTGCCTTTTGCTTCTGGCAAGAGGAGCAGGCCTTCATTCGGGAGCTGTACGCGGCCCGGTGCAGTCTCTCCGGCTTTTTGCTGCGAGTTTCCATTGTGAATGGAATGCCGTGCTGTCTCAGAGAACATGAATCGGGGAGAAAATGTCAGAGGCGCGGAGTTGACCGCGACGCTGAGACCCCGTTATGCCGTTATGACCGATATTCCTATAAGAATACTTCCCTAAATGACCTAGCAATGTGTCTGAGTGACCTCCTCCCTTTTTGCTCTCCCTGTCTGCGTAATGCCCTCTAAGAAATGACACGATGTTCACCAGAGCACTAGACCTGAGCTCTATTATAGATATTGGAGATGATCATGGTATCTGGTGCCTTCCCCATTCATTTTACCCACTGTGGAAACTATCAAAATAGGTTCAAGGCGCTCAACGCGTTGCAGATGACTGCGCAACGGAGATCTCAAGCTCATCTGTCTATATTGGTATGGGGACGGCTTATTCATGTCTGCTTTTCTTTTGTCAAACAAGGGTTTGCATATGGAGTAGAGTCAGATGGATAGGGCACTGTGCCTGGTATGCTTTGATGACCAGCAGGAGATCCTGAGTACGAAACCGAGCACCCGACTCGCCGACGTGGGCTCACACATTCCCCGTTTGCACCCATGGATCCAATTGATCCTCTAATGGCTCGTTCGGCTCCTGGTGAATCACAAACGATCGAACGGCGGGCTTTGTCACTCGAAGAGTCTCCCTTCTTTGCAAGCCAGCCACGCCGACCCCACCCATGTTTTCAATACTCAGACAATAGTCTCAGTCGTAGCCTGCTTAGAAGCTTGTAGCTCTGCTTGCCGGAACGTATGAGCGGGCCGACACTCGAATGAATCTCGGTCATTCTCATCCCGGCAAAGGAGCGCTCGCACTTTCGAATTAACATCACTACCTTATTACAGGATACTTATAGGTACCTAAGGTATCGCATTCTCCTTCCAATCATAACATCACCAATGTGTAACCGTAATTTGCACCTCATTCAGTGGCTTGAATGTCACTCTGAGGTAAGTGAATAGATATAAAAACTCTGGCCCAACATCATCTTGGCACGAACTTTCCGACTCTCGAGCAAACTACACTGACCCTTTCTTGCTTTCTACGTTTACAGCTTAAGACCCACGGGGCCCAGCTCCTTCTAGGCATGGACTACTATCGTATCAACCCATACATGATGTCATCAGCCTTGTGTTACGGTCCAGCATACCATTTTGAGATGTCTGACACGCAGGCTCATTTCCCATCATACCAGTCACTGACCGGTTGACTGCCCACGCCTCACCTCGCCAAGCTTGCCTCGCCGAAGCCTCATGCTGGAACACGGATTCGGTTTACTTGTTTCCTGGCCGAGACTCGTCTTATCCGGGAGCGCAACACCTGACGGGACCTGACCTCGGCCCGCTGACCGCGCTAGCTTAGTGCGAGACACAATCATTCCTCATCCCTCCAACCTCCAGTCAGCATCGACATCCAAACAACCTTCAGGGCGCGAAATAAGAATGCCGTGTAACCGACTGAAAGGATTTGTTTCAGGATAGTTGATATCCCTTCCGTGTGCTCGCTTCTCGGTAAGACAACTTGTACCCATCCCGAGTTGATGGAGAAGGCAGCAAAACGTTTTGCAACATAAAGTCAGGACTGTGAATGATCTGTCATGAACCAGAAGAGTATTTTATGCAACGGGCATTTCAATCACGATATGTCGAGGGGAGTATTCGTTATATCACTGCGCTACATGTGCCATGTCGGCTCGGGTTGTCCTTCATTTCACGCTCAAATGAAGAGCTAGACTGGACATTGAAGTACTATGATGAGGCAATGTAAACAAGAGGCAAGTACATGTAAATCCTCTGAAAATGCATGCTCATATCAAAAAGTAAGGAAGGGGCCACTCATAGTCTTAATTGGGGTTGCACAAGGCGAAGTATCATTTCCTCGAAATGCGGCCTCTAGGGTCCAGTCGACTCCCTTGCCCTGCTGATCTTTCGGCTGGTGTAACCTAAACCACTTCCTAGGGGCTTCGGTGGCCCACCAACGAGAGTGGTGTCACAAAGCTTGCGATGAGAGCTCTTCTTATCAACAACGACTCATCCAGAGCGATGGAATCATATCTTGGTATTCAGCGACGTAATTACTCCCATAGACCCTGCTAGTTAGTAGGGAAGAGGTGCATGAGGCTCATTGGCATCGCAAAACTAGAAGGAGTCTAAGAACGTGCTTACAAAGTGCGATCCGAGCTTGCTGCTTGCGTTCCATCAGTCTTTCAGGATTTCTTCCTGGCAAAAGTAGTTCCAGCCGAGAGATCGAGAGCAGGTGGCAAAGGCGTGCCTAGAGCTTGACGGCTCTTCAGCTCAAGTTCGCATAGACTGATTTAGACTTTTGTGCTCGATCCAGAACACCAAAACGTCTCGATTGCTGCACTGTGAACAAAGAGTAGTCTCCAAAGACACCGCCTCCCGACTGCTAATTCGCCAAGCACAAGTTGAGCATAAACATTCCTACCTTGGGCGCATGTCATGGTGCTGACCAGTTGAAAGGGCGATGGACATTTCGACGCTCGATGTGGTCCCGATGGTCGCCTATGACCCCCAAGGGATTTCTTACCGAAGATTCCACTCCATAAGACATTGTGGCATGCGGGAGCAACGCACGAAAAAAGGGGGCGAACTTCTCGGCCCTCGAAATCACCAAGTAGCCTCCATAAATGTCGCTTCGTTTTCTTGTCAAGCCGCAAGCAGGGCTCTTGGTGCTTCACCTCCTTGACATTGTCCAACATCACCACTCGGGCAATCAGCAGCACCGCCTGCTTGGAGGGCACCACCGACGACGCCATGTCCGGAGACCTGGAGTCCAGCTTGCTGAAGTCTCAGCCTTCCTCTCCTTCATCCTCCTCGCAGGCATCTTTCTCTTCTTCTTCTTCTTCTTTGGATGACTTGGAGTACGCTCGTCTTTGCCAGGACGACAAGGTTGAGAGCTTCCGCATTGAGACTCTCGAAGTAGAGGATGATATCTATCTCGACGACACCTTCGTCGCAACTCGCCCCTTGCCGCCTTGGCTGAGATATCCCAAGAGCCTTGCTTTGGCCTTGATCCCGAGTTTCCTGCACCCAGTGGATCCTGATGCGACGCCAAGGCCCCTCCATCCATCAGCTTGGCTCGGTAAGTTGATCCAAGTCTCGGCACAGCCTAGGTTTCTGTAGCTAATTGAAGATGAAGATGGACTTCGAGGACTCGCAGCGTTCTTCGTCGTCTGCCACCACTGGTCCCTCTGCACGTTGACCGGCGAGGTCCGCCGTGGCTTCATGAGCGATGATACACCTCTCTTTCTCCAGATCCCAATCCTTCGCTTGGCTCTTTCAGGACTGTCGAATGTCTGCGTCTTCTTCGTCATCTCCGGTTATGCCCTGAGCTACAAGCCCCTGAAGCTCATCCAGCAGAAGAAGTCGGCCGAGTTTGCAGTCGCTGCCGCTTCTTCTGCTTTCCGTCGCTATATCCGCCTCTTCCTCCCGACAATGATTACGTCCCTCGCCGTCGCTGGCCTGGCCTATTTCAAACTCTTCGAGCTTGAGCCTTTCCCCGGTCCATCTGTCACAATGTTCAGGCCGCCAGCACTAGACAATGTATGGGACCAAGTAGTCGGCTGGTGGGGGCACTTCTCAATTTTGTCCGACCCAATGGCCAAGAACCTTGACAGAGGAAGAGGATTTCCATATCAGCCGCAACTTTGGACCATCCCCGTGGAGTTTGACGGTTCACTCATTGTCTTCTTGGCACATGTCGCTTTTCACCGAGTTCGCCCTAGCGTTCGAATTTTTTTCCTTGTATGCCTCCTCATCTACAACCTTCACTCCGGCTACTGGCAGTTCTTTCTTTTCCTATCCGGCCTGCTCCTCGCTGCCCTCAGATTTTACGGCGACGATGAGGATGCCGACTACGAGAGCAACGGCTACGGCTGGGAAACTCTACCACACCTATCGAGCCCTTCGTACTGGCGACGTGAGGGGCTGAGGGGATTCAATGCCCCAATTTCGTTGATTAAATCTTCCAAAACCTACGGGATCTCCAAGAAGACTCTCCAGATAGCCTCTTTCATCGGCGCCCTATGGCTGCTGTCGTTCCCCGAGGGGAGCGGAAGTGTAGCGCAGACCCCAGGATATAGAAACCTTTCCTGGCTAACCCCTGCACGATATGGCGAAGGCGACGGCCTTTGGATTCCCATCGCCGCTGTTTGGCTGGTTTTCACTATTGACCAGTCCCAATTCATTCAGCAGCTTTTCACGGGTCGGGTTATCCAATACCTCGGCCGGATATCGTACGCCATCTACCTCGTTCACAACTGCCTGATTTGGCTATGGGGTTATCACTGCGTCCAGTTCTTTAGTGTCATTACTGGCACTCCTCTTGAGGCCAACCTTAGCACTAGTTGGGGATTTGTCGTCTTTCTTTCAACGTGTCTTTACCTACCGGGCGTCGTCTGCGTGGCGGATTTCGTGCAAAGATATGTGGATGTCAACGCTGTCAAGTTCGCGGCTTGGTTCGAGGGAAAGTTGATTGAAAAGACAAAGTAGTGGAGTTTTCAGGGTTGAACAATTACTTAGTTTAATCATCTAATACATTACGATTCTGTCAAACTCAATTGCTCACACTAAGGCCTGTCCAACGCTAACATAGCCTATTTCTAGTCACCGCTGCCTT